GGAGCAGGGCCGGAGCAGGGCTGGTGCAGGGCTGGAGCAGGGCCGGAGCAGGGCTGGTGCAGGGCTGGAGCAGGGCTGGTGCCGCCATTGGAACCACCGCTTTGTGCCCTGACACCCCCCTACCTCTTCCAGCCATTTGTGGGCGCATCCAGCCTGTCTTCTTGCACCGGGAGAGCTGGGGCAGCAGGTGTGGGGGGCCTGTCACCCCCCCACGGGCTGCCCCTTTCTCAGGACCAGGCAGCCCTGGCCACTGGCCGGCGGTAGGGGGATGTGAGGGAAAGGGAGCATTCGCTGGTCTGCAGGTCTGATGGGGCGGGGGGGCGTGAGCGAGAGGGCCCCTCTAACGGCTTCCTCCCGGACCCCGCCGGACTCCACGGAGCTGACGGGAGTAGGGGCTCTCGGCCTCATTTGGGACCCGGCTCCATCTGAGAATCTGCTTGAGGCTCTGGACCCTCTCCCCAGAAAAAAGCACTCACACAGCACGTCCTGCACACTGTCGGGGCCCCTTGGACCCGTGAAGCCACCCAGCCTCCTATGGGGAAGTGGCTTGCAAAGCTGTTGGCTTCCGTGTTACGCTGTAGAGTGCCAGGCCCCCCGGCCCTCTGTACTTCCCCAGGCAGCTTCTCTGGGGCCTGAGCCCAGACACCCGTCGTAAATAGGCCTCCAGCAGCCTGATTGCTGGTCTGGACGCTGGGCTGTCCGGCACCTCTGTCAGGCTGAGGCCAGCAGTAGCTGGTCTGGGGGCCACCCAGGAGGCCTGTGCTCCACACATGGCCTTGTTTCCTGGCCCCAGCTCTCTTCTCCAGCCCAGCCAAGGCCGACAGGGGGAAAGAGCCCCTGACGTACGAGTCTGGGGAAGATGAGGAGGACGAGGAAGAGGAGGAGGAGGACTTCAAGCCATCCGATGGCAGCGACAATGAGATGGAGACAGAGATTCTGGACTACGTGTGACACAGCCCTGCACCCGAGGCTGGGCATCCTTGATCATGCATGACTGGTGATGGAACCGGGGCAAGCCGTGTCTCCCCATTGCTGCCCACGGTAACCAGAGTGGCCCGAGGAGGCCCCCCCGCCCCGCCACCGAGGAAAGCTGGGGTCCCAGCACTGGGTTCAGCTGACCCTGGTCCTGCCCGTCTGCCCGTGACACCTGCAGCACGGGACTGCCCTCCGGCCGTGGGTGCTTGGGGACATCCCCAGAGGGTATGACCTGGCTTTTCGCAGCTGTGAGCCAGCCCAGTGTCCAGCAGGCTGAGCTGGTGCCCAGCACCTCTCTCTGGCTGAGGACAGCAGAAGCTGGAGGTGGAGAGGATGTGGCCAGGGGCAGGGTGGTCTCGCCTTGGAGCTGATGACTGGTGACCAGCGAGGAAGCTGGTCCGTGGTCACAGATGGGCGAAGACTGTCCTTGGGTTTGGATCCCATCCATTTGGGACTCAGCTGGAGTTGTTCTTACCAAATACACTTTCCCAAGGAGAAAGTGGTGTCTCACTGCGGGGGTCGGAGCCAGAGGAGAGTTTCCTCTTACAGGTTGGGTGAGAGCCGCTGGGAGTACCCCAGACGCCAGGTCCCAGAGTGTCCTGCAGCCTCGAGCGCATCCCTTACTGCTCCAGATGTGTTCTTGAGAAGTTCATGGGGACGCAGACCCTGGTGCCTCCCAGCTCCCTGGTGTGAAACCGGAGGCAGTGCAGATTCTGCTGGGACGGAGGCTGTCCTCCCTGGGGAGCACTCCCACCTGTGCCAGGGGACAGCCGTGCCACAGTCCTACAGAGCAGCCTGAGCCGGAGGTGAACCCGGTCACCCCCTTCCTCAGCCAGCGGACTGGGCCACCTAGTGTGACAGCTCCCCAAGTCACATTAATTCTAAAGTCCGATGCCTCAGGCAAGCCCCAGTCTGCTGCCCAGGCTCCTGGGGAGCCCCCTTGGGGGACAGATCAGGAGCCCCAGTGGCTCACAGTTGGCCTAAAGTGGCTAGTCCTGGCCACCTGCCTTGTAGAGGGGAAGCTGCCAGGCTGACCGCCCACGATGGCCCCGCTCCCTGCTGCTGGGGACCAGGAGGGGTCCCCTCCCCCATATTCAGAATAACTTTCTGTAGAACAGGTTCTCAGAATTGGAAGAGCCGGACAGAAGGCGTGGGTTAACGGTTCCCCGTCCTTGTCCGGGGTGGGGACTCAGGCTCTTTCCCCCGTCGTCCTCACACTGCCCAGCTGAAGGCACACGAGCCCCTTCCTGGTTTCCTAACTCCTCCCTCCCACCCGCAGCTGCCCACCCCTCCTCACCTCTCCCCACCTCTCCCCACCTCTCCCCTCC